TTCTCCGCTGGCGACCCTGGATATCGCTACGAAGGAGGCTGAGGCCTGGTTTCTAGCGCACGAGTCATTGGAACAAGCTGGACAAGAGAACTAGCCCAGCTCGGCAACCCCTCTACCATCGTCTACGTTTATATGTTTTGTGGATGGATCATGAAAGGACGGTGACCCCACGAGTGGGTTAGGATGGCTTTTACAGGTACCGGATGGCGAGACAGACCTTCTGGGAACAAGGGGAATGCGTCGGGGTTTGTCCCCCGTTACACACGGAGATGCATAGCCTGTTGTGGGCCATGGCGAGATAACGGAGGAAAATGCGTTACTGTGCGGTGTTCGCTACGGATTCCCAGGAGTTGGTTGCTATGGTGCAAGATCCAGACAAGTGGCCCCGATTCAAGTCTGAGTTAGACGAGTTGACGATCATTCGAGATTACTTCCCAGACTTTACACTGGTGTATTGTCCACAAGATTAGAATGAGAAGGCGGACCTACTGGTTAGGAACGCTCGTCAACGGTATTTGATCTTTTCTACAATCAGCACTTCGGTTCTCTATTGGTTTCCTGATACTAACGTATTTGGTTAGTCAATAGGAGAAATGTGTTCGTGACAAAAAAAAAATCAGTGAAATCGGTCTTTATACAGTATATATTATAGGAGAATTTTGATTTCTTTTTTTCAAACGAATGTAAAATCGGTATCCGGAGGACTTGATTGGTGGTGCGGTAATAAATGTGCACTGAATCAATGATCATTCAAATTAATAAATAATGATATGAGAAGTAAATTTAGATTTTATTTTGATTTATAATTAATATAGGAGATATACACCATTTTGGTAAAGTAAAAAATCACTTGAATAATTTAAGGGATAACTATGACAATATTTCTCTACCTTTTTAGTTGACAAAAAAATATATTCTACCTCCTTAAGATAATAAGATAAGATGGCAAAATTCATGTATGTAAGAAAGGTTTTCTTTCAATATTACACTATATATATGACGATAAAAAGAATCACATAATGTATTAAAATAAGACAAAGACAAACACATCGTCAAAAAATTGTTTAAGACAAACTAAACGATGAAATCACAGACAGTTCTCATCTGCATTTTCATGCTCTCTCTCTCTTTGCTCTACATGAGTGTATGTTTAGGTTTCTTCATATATATAACAGTTGTCTCTTTGTGTTTGTCATTGTCAAAGTTTGGTTAAGTATTCGTGGTTTCAAATGTGTAGGCATGCAAATGGATGTTAGAGAAATAGAGAGGTCAAGCAAGCTCACTATTCCACCATGTGTCCCTACCAAATGTTCATCACCGTTTTTTGGAAGAGATTGTTGGTGCTGTTTTAAAAATCAAAATCTTTGTTGGAAAAAACAAGCAGATTGTGATTCCCGTTGTCCTCCTATATAGATTTAGACCTTTATAAACTAAATGTACCCCTATGACTTTTCCAAATTTATAATGTTTTAATATACTCTTAATTCACACACCTATATTGCTTTAATCAAATATAAGAACTATCTACGTAACTGTTTTGATTCTATATTTTATGTAATGTGAATTTGATTGTATCCAAGACTGGTACAATTCATTTTAAAACTTTAGAAAAATCTATCTAATTAACCAATGAAGATAAAATAGAAATTAAGAACAAATGAGATAAAGGAGAGATTGATCAAAATGCCATCAATAAGGCCTGAGGGTTGAGGGTATCTGTCATACGTGTAAGAAGAAGAACAATAAGACTCGGAAACTGTAGTGACCTTCGGAACTCTGAGTGACCTTCGTTCGAGACGCAGTATGAACTCGGAAGACTTGCTTCGCTAGCACCGTATGGGATAAATCTTCATATGGAGGAGAAGGAAGACTGAGGAACTGCACATGCGGCATCCTTGCGAAGTAACCCCCAACGGAGTAGTCCCCACTGGGATTGAGGGTTCGGCTTGTTGCGTGCTTCGCCATGAGTATGAAGAGTTCCTTCGCTTTTTAAAACCGTATGTGAACCCCATACGAGGGTGTGCAATCACTCAAACGCCAAAAGTGTTATTTCAATTAAGCACTCAAACGACTTAGTTTCGTATTAATGAAATGTGAAACAAATAAGA